AACTTTAAACTCGTGATTTCAAATTATGCTGCGCTGTATGCATTTGCCCACTGTAATATTCATGTCATTTTCACTGTGTGCTGTATGTAAAATGAGTGTTACCTTGGCTTTGGGAAAAATATGATTCCCAATGCACACAAACTTCCCAGAATACTGAGTGCCCTGTTAGTTACAGTGTTTACTTCCTTTTTAATTGTATTTTTATTAAATATTTAATTATTTGTGAAAAATACTTTGTCATCTTAAAGGGTTAGTTCAGCCAAAAATAAAAATTAGGCTGTGTTTTACTCACCCCCGATGCATCCTAGGTGTATATGACTTTCTTCTTTCAGACGAATCCAGTCGGAGTTATATTAAAAATTGTCTTTGATCTTTCAAGCTCTATCGCTGTACTCAGATTCGTCTGAAAGAAGAAAGTCATATACACCTAGGATGCATCGGGGGTGAGTAAAACACAGCCTAATTTTTATTTTTGGCTGAACTAACCCTTTAAGTATAAGTATGTTTATTTTACACATTTATTTTTTAATCCACAAATAAATGATTTCAAATTTCTTGAATATTAATTAAAATAAATAAAATTATATCTGCTTTTTATCAGCCACCCTGCTTTCCAAGATATCGGCATCGGCTGTCAAAAACCACATATCTGTCGACCACTAGACAGGAGGAACAAAAAAAACTACAATCATCTGATTAAATATGAACCCATTTATAAAGTCCACTGGCCTCTTGTCTTACACAATTATATCAACCAGTTAAACACATATCCAAAACAGACAACGTTGGTGAACAATGCAGAGCAGCTAAATGACGCCACAAGGAGCAGGAAACTAACAAACACCAAGTCCCGGTTTCAGATGAGAACTTACTCATTTCCACTAAAGTAGCGTTTTACTTTTTAGTTGTGCAATGAGAGCTCAGATAACAGCATTCTGGGTAATATAGAACAGATGGCTCTCGCTGTAAGAGACCAATGCATAGACCTCTAACCCAGAGGGCCACACAGGGGCACTAAATAAATCACACTGTGCCTCAGCCCAGCCTGGAATCACTTTCCTTCCTCACCTTTCCATAACGAGTGCATCACTTCTTCAGCCTGACATACACTTTCAGTCCTTTATTATCAAAGAAGATCTAATCAGACCCTGATATAGCAGATGAACTGGCGGCAAAGCAATTCTATCAATATTTATCAAAACGAGACTCATAATTGTTTAAATCAACTTCAATTTAACAAAAATACAACAAAAATGTGTTGTATTATTGTTGTTGAAATACAACAAAATATTAAATGTTAAATCTATCATGATCACTTCAATCTGTATGCAAACGAGTTAAACAAACCCTTAATTACAATCTCAAAAAAAAAAAAATCAATCAATCATAGTAGCATACAATGATGGCCTCTGACAGAATGCTCTAGGAAAAAAAAAAAAAAGTCTAGACTAGATGACGGTAAGCAACGTCTTGTGTTCTCGGATGGTGTAGCATGTGGTTCTCACTCCTGAACCAGCAAACTTGACACTTCAGCAAAGAAGAAAAAAAAATTTTTTGACAGCTGTATGGATATGAGCTCAGAGATTAAGGTTTTACCATCTGAACCAGCCAGGAAATTAGACTTTCACTGTTTTCACATGACAATCATTATAAATTTAAATTATTTTTAAATGATGTCTAAAAAGGTCATAAAACAGTGAAAAGTTAAGGAAGCTAAGAGATGACAAATTCACTCGCATTTAGTAAACACAGATCATAGTGATCTGGTCAAATTCAAGGTGGATATTTAATCAATAACAAAAATTAGTTGCTCTTTTAAAAAGCTCCCTATATTAATTACCAAGAACAAAATATGTAGAAAAATGCATACCACGTATCTAGCTTTCTAAGATAGGCGCACAATATTATCTAAATTTAAATCACCATGACCTCTTTGGTCATGGCAAACGTGACCATATTTCTTAAGAAAAATGCCATGCATAAATAAACAACTAGCTATAAATATGATGCACTGAATGAGGCAACCATGCCTCATTCATACTCACTGGACATACAAATAATTGAAGGTTTGACAATAAAAACCGTCCGGGGCCATTGTTGGACAGTTTCGCGCAGAACTGTCATTTGTCCAATCAGGTGAGTGCTGCACTGACATTACCTTGCACATTTGTGTTTGTTTGTTTTGATTTTTGTCTTGCAGACATAAAATGATCAACAAACCTTTTAATGAAAACTGCAAATGTACTGGAAATAAATGGATCAAATAAAAGCTAAAACCCTAAAAAAAAAAAAACTTATTTGTTGAGCACTGTGTACATCAAGAGCAATAGCTGTGCAGATACAGTAAGGCCAGTTCCTCTATCCAGAAATGCTTTAGACGAATTTTAGTCTAATCTTGGCTAACTTCATAGAAGTTAAAGAAAAAAATGAAATCTTAAATCTAGTGAACATATTTCATGACGAATGATCATAAAGGATGTATTTCATCAAATGAAGAGTTTGTATTCTCACCAATCATTGCCGTAGACAGTGTTGCCTCATCAGTAACATAAAAAGGGACTGAAAGAATGAAATCATTCTCCATATTTATCCTTTCAAAACTTCTGTAAGAACAGGGAGTTCTACATTCCACTTCAACACACTGTGTGTTGTAAATGCAATGAGTGCATAGCATGATACAATGCAATATAGTGAACCCACACACCATCTAAGCAGGCCGGGGCAAATCAACATCCATGCAATCAATTCATTCACAGGCTACTCATGTAATACACTAGATGTAAAGCAAAACAGCATGGTGTAAATTAGTGTAAATATACTTAACATTTCAAAATTCTCGACAAAACATGCACCAAGGCCTACCAGATGCCTATTGCCATTGTTACAGCGCTATACAGAGAAATAATTGCACCTCTTCAATGATTGGATCCTGCCCTCTAACTGTCCTTCCAGTCCTGTTTCTTAGTGTTTGGTACACCTGCCTTTTTGTATATTACAGGGCAACGAATGGGACAGTGAGGTTAACAGGACTACAGCTAAACGTCAGGTTTGGTGTTAATGTTCAATATCACTGAATCCTGCTGAAATAAAACGAGCAATCAAACCACTTATGCTTTGCACTTCATCTGCAAGATGTAATGCGCCCGATCAAAGCCATCACAAAACCAACAATGTACATTCAAACAATACCTGTGCTTGAAAAACGCAAATGACATTGACAATGACATATGGCACATAAGTGAGCAGGCATCGGTGACGTTTCTAAAATGCAGCTCAACAGAGGGAGTCCTCTTTAACAGGACTGCGCGGATCTCTTCCTGCGATTACGAAAAAGGCATACTTCACATACTAAAGCATTTCCTTTTGTACACAAGCGTGTGAACCGACTCATTTTTGCTCAATCAAAACTACACCAAATAGAACGCGAGATCTATTTTCTGCGAGCAGCTGATGCAATGGCTCTTTGTGTGACACTGCTTGTGCATTTCATCTAATCCATCGCATTACATAAGCCAGCGAGTCCTCTACGCGACGCATCTTTTGTTTTAAACCCCCAAATTACAGTTTTGGTGCAAGAAGCCTTGAGTTGAAATGAACGCGTTTTGTGTACTGGATTACAGATTAGCAGCCAATCGATGGATCAGATTACATAAGAAGGGAAAATGACATTTTACAACCTAACTGGCGTTGCTTATATTGTAGTTTGCACATGCAACTAGCCCAGAACAACTGTACGGATGAAATGAGTGCGCGTGCAGTCTGTTGATTTTCTGTCTGCTCGTTAATTTGGTTAAATTGAGAACTGACATGAATCTAAACGGCGCTGTCTTCGACTTGATCCAGATACAGAAACTAATAACGTTAGAGTAGCTAGATCATGTCAAGTTCCAGTCGCCGACTAACGTTAGGTGCCAGTGCCAATAGTTTGTGCAAAAAAAAATCATTTAAAATTAACAAACGCTCATTTCGTATGTATCCTCCGATCAAACGTTAGATATTTCTCGATTTAGAACAAGATGCAAGCCATTACCTTCACAGCAGACACTGGTTTCTACACAATAGACAGAACAGGGACATTTGATTGATCAAAGAGGATACAGGTCAAGTCCAAGTCGAATCCATCTTCCTGGTATCTATATTTGTTTCGGCTGACAATTTCCTTTATGATCGCAGCCATGGCTGTGACAGGAGTCTTTAAGGTTTTTAGTGTGAGTGAGAGTATTGTTGCTTTCCGACGATCGGTCAATTTAATGCTCTGCTCGTTTCGCAGTCCCCCTGCTAACTAGAAAGGAGTCTGCTGTGGATCTCTCATCAAGGGCCTCGCTCCAAACCACCACAGGCCCGGCTTCCAAAATGCCCTCCTCAGCTCAGACGAGCCCCGGGTGAAAAGATAAGCGACGTCCCACGTCTCAAACTGCAGAATTTCTAGTGCACGACAAGTCTCTGTTCGCACCGTAGGCGCCGTGATTGAACGGAAAGGCGGAGAGAGGGTCCTCTCCGTAAGCTTCCACTTCAAGAACGGTTGTCAAAGCCCCGCTCCCGCTCAGCTCGCGCTCCGTCTAGCTGCTAGCTTCAACGGCTAGCGCGCTAGCTCGTCTACCCATCCTTAAAAAAATAAAAGCCATCGAACATTGCAACAATCCGCGATGCCCAGGTTCCAACACATGAAATGAAAGGTGACAGCCTCCACCAAGAAATAAAAACTCGATATTTAAATGTCTCGTAGGAACGGACTCAACTCGGGTCCTTTTCCTTCACTTCTCCTCTGTTAAACTCTCAAACTTCCATCATGGCTTCCCATTGAAAAAAGGTGACGTTCGGCCAACATATTCATACGCTGTGCCAAATAGTTCCATGTATGCAGTATTTTATGAATATACCAATGATTTTTCTGTGTTTCAGTATGTAGATATACACATTATTAGGTACAAATATTTAGCTGTTATGACATTAAATAAAAAAATACATTAACAATTTTATTATTTTTTAAGTACAGCAAGCGGAAGAATACAGATAGAGCACAAACGAACTACTTTTTGTTCCAGGGTCACGTGTGTACAGAAATGAGGGAAGTTTCCAATATTTTATATCAGATTTCAAGTCAGTATGTAGGTAATACACACCAGCACTCTCGTTTCATTTTTTGAAAGAATTATTCATTGGTTTGACACATAATGACTGAAAAGAACAACATGGAATGTATATTTTTGAAAAACTACAGTATAGGGGGAAAATATCAGAATGCGCGTAGATAGCCCCCTCACCAATGCCTGTACTACCCTGCTACAATAGAAGGCAGGAAATTGCTGAAATGCTTACGCAAGCAGAAAAGTAAGTCAGGCTACTGCATAAAGACACAAGCACACCATTTGGTAATTATAAAATAATGATAGAAAATTAATTGCGCCAGCGATTATGCAAATGTACTTTTCCATGTATTAGTGTTATAGGCGTGTTCTGTACCATTTGCTCAAATGTGCATTTAGCCCCCAAGAACGGCACGGAGGTGGAAGGTTCTAGCTGCGCTTCAGATGGCAAATCTTTATTGTACAGCGCCATCTGTCAGAATAATCTAGAAAGAAAAGTCGGATATTACAATGACATTCTACATTCTCCTGTTTTTCGAGTACAACCCCTTTCTAATTGTTTTTAAAATATCCCTCCTTTTAAACCTGTTTGAAGGAGCAACAGTGTATAGATAAAAGTAAGTTTTCCCATATTTTATTCTATGACAATCATAGGACCATATAAAAATCAATCAACTGAATGAAATGAGATAAAAATAGATACAATATAAGAGTTTTATTATTTAGTAGGATTATTTTGCTTTTATCCATGGATGTAATAGGCCTACATCTCATAATATATGTAAAGATTAAACCTATTTTCTTTTATTTTCGAAGAGATGTTGCAGTTTTGTCCTTCTCTTATAGCAATATCAACAACAACAATACTACCAAATTTATTCTCGGATTTTGGTGTATTTTTTTTATGTTTGGTCCATTATGACCCAATTTATGCCTGATTTATTCGTTATTTTTGATTTATTGGTATGTTAGATATCTTTGTTTTATATCTGGAATTAAGCCATTCCACCTTTATGGTCTGAATGTCCGTTGAATAATAATATCTTCCTTTATTCTTGTTACACAAAGACAGCTCTTCTTAGCCAGGAGAGGGTAGCCTGCGCAGAGATAGAATTGTCACGCGTAAAGATGATCTGATTCCCAGTTCATCTCTAGACAGTGTGTGTGAGTGTATATCAGAATAGTAGGTATTGATACATACTATTTCATAAAATTGCATATTGAAACCACTTGATATATATTTCCACTAGGTGACGATCGAGGGTGTAACGGTCTTGTCGAAACACAGAAGGCAACCATTGCCAAAACAAAACCATTAACGTTACATTTCTGGTAAGTGACCTCTTTATTAAGAGTTTGTATTGGTGAACGAGGAAATATGAAAATAGCTACGATTTACTTCGCTTTCTTTACTTTCTTCATGTAGGCTAAGTGTATTTGTTTGAAATGTGGCGAAAGAAAAAATGTGAAAATAGCCAATGATTTAGCCTTTTCTTTACTTTCTAATTAAGTGCGTGGGTTAAGTTATTTTTATTACAAGTTAAATCTTTTGGGCCGGTTGCACCAGCTGTGGCATAAATGGGCACTAAATCACAATTTACACACATCTAAATATTTGACAGTTCCGTTAAAAACGAGACTGAATCCAACTAGGCCTAGCCTACTCGCCAGTTATTTTCTGACTCCTGCCATGACACATTTTATGACACGAGGACAGGCCCGGACTGGCCATCTGGAGCACCGGGAGAATTCCCCGGTGGCCTGGCGGCTGATTTGGCCCGCCCGCTTTTTTTATTTACTTTTTTTTTTAGTTATTATTATTATTAATATTTTATATTTATGCCTTCCCAATATTCGAAAGTGATCATTTCCGATTTTTTCATTCGATATTAAATCATAAATCGGTTAGTCTTGACTGGCAGCGCTGCGCTATACGAATCGGTTCAAGTCTGTTCCGCGCTTCCGTCAAACGGTTCAAACAGAATCGATGCGCGGGACTCGATGAAAGAGAGGAAGCGGCCAGAAGAAGCAGTGAGATGTAGCAACATCACCAGGGGCGGATTTAGTGAATTGGGGGCCCCAGGCAAAATATAGTAGGGGGCCCTTGGCTTTTGGGGGCCCTTGGCTTTTGGGGGCCCTTGGCTTTTGGGGGCCCTTGGCTTTTGGGGGCCCTTGGCTTTTGGGGGCCCTTGGCTTTTGGGGGCCCTTGGCTTTTGGGGGCCCAAGGCGGTCGCCTACCTTTGCCTAATGGGTAAGTCCGCCCCTGAACATCACTGACCTGTTCAGGGTTTCAAGTGCAGGTCAGTTTCATCTGTAAATATGCTAAATAGTTTTGTCTTTATTAACGCTACGTTAATTGAGTATTAAACTGCTAGTATCTATTCAGTCAGATGATCAGCCAGAATACTGGGCTAAAGGACATCATTATCGATTGTAAAGTTACATAAAAAAATTTAGTAGAGACAGATATTCACATGCAGGGCCGTTTCTAGCCAATTTGACGCCCTAGGCGAAATCCCTATTGTATACAGGTAGTACAAAAGAGTCACAGCCTAATAATGCAATAGTATGTTCAGTATTAGGATTTTTCAGCCTAAATAGGCTATTGTACTAATTTTGACATTTGGGCACTTTAGAAAATGTGTTTTAATATATTTGTATGAAATAGGTTTGTTAGATATGGTTTTTAAGTAATTTTAAGATAAATAACATTCTGTGCTAACAAATTTAAATGAGGTGGTTCTTTTCAACAAAGTGAACACATGCAGTTATATTCATAACAGTAGACCTGCTGGTGAAGAAATGACAGGTACAAGAAAAAAAGGGAGACAGTGATATTGGGGAAAATAGAAGTGAAGGTGAAGTTCAAGAGAGAACCTTTAATTATTTGCCACAGCCTTAGACTAAGGATTTAGACCTTTTTATGTGATGGCCATATAATAGAGTTGTCTGGGGTTTCAGAAATTGATGTGGATATATAGGCTATCTTGTAACACTCCAAAGAGAAAGGAAAAATTGAAATCGCATCATATGACCCCCTTGAAAAGTACATCTTTGTAACTTTTTTACCCTATAATTAACACCTCTGTTTTTTCAGAATTTAGCAGTAAGAAATTACTCATCATCCAGTTTTTTATATCGACTATGCATTGGGTACTCGCTTGCTGCTCTAAGGTACTAATATGTAACTATTAGGGGAAAAAAGGTACAAAGATGCCCTTTTAAGAGTACTGCTCCAGTGACAAGCTGTTGGACCCCAAAAGGTACAAATTTGGCCCCTTTTTTTCCCGTGTGGTGAAATTACGTCCCAGTCCAGTCCTGCACGAGGACGCTTGTGCATCCGTATCTATTGCATTGATCCCATTAAATTACTTTAAAACACAATTTATCTGCAAAGTGTGTAATGACTAACTAAATCCAAACCATGACTAGTAAAAAAACTATTACAGATAACTGAAATGTAAAGTATGCCTATAATCGCAACGTCTTTGGAACTGGAATTTAGACTAGTGAAAGCTGAATACGACTAGTGAAGTGTAGGGCACTAAACTATTTATTAAACCAGCCTACTGTTTCCAAATAAATCTAATTGCTGAAACTAAATAAAGGAACTGATTAAAGGGAATCTGCCTTTTAAAAAGCTACTTTGCTGTAAAGTAGTTCAGCCTCCACTTTGAATCAATCAATCAATCAGTAAAATAAATATATATTTTAAAATACTAAAAAAAGAGAGAGAAATAATGCCGGCAAACTTTATAATAACGAATAAAGCATGTATTTCCTAAGACAATCTGACTTTGAATGTTGAATTTCAAAATAACTGACTGATAGTGAATTTCAAAATAAAAGTAGTTTTTTCTATAAATACAGATAGATATGGAAAGGAAACTCCCTGTTTTCAGAGATCAATGTCACATCAGAATGATATTACACCACCTCAATCAGAGTGTCAATCACAATGTGTCAGTATTTTGTGATGCTGAATTCCAAAATAAAAGCCTAAGTTCTGATAAATATAACATGGCCTTCAGACCCTTGACCCTTGAAAGGATCACCTACTCACTTTAAGACCAATCAGCAAATGTCATTGTAAATGTGTTCAGCATTTTTTTCTACAGTTTTTTCTACAGCATTATTGAGAAAATGACTGTATTGACAGTTACAAAAGTGATAACATACTGTTTGCTTTTGTTAATATCAGATCACAGAGTCTATATATTCATTAATGTCAATTCCTCCTGCATCACGGAACATTTCCCAGTTTGTATATTCAAAGTAGGAGTCTGGAAATGTCATCCTCGCTCATTTTGTGGACTGGTTTGACAACCAGTTTTTCCTGTGTGTATGTGTGTGTTTTAACTGTCCTTCATTGGTAAAAAGCACTGCTAAACCAATCTGATCACCACATGTGGGAAATGAACATGCTTATATTATTTAGGAGCAACTTTTATTGTGTTTGGCCATTAAAATACCCATGAAAAAGAGAGCGGGTAAAATAAGTATTGAACACGTCACCATTTTTCTCAGTAAATATATTTCTAAAGGTGCTGTTGACATGAAATTTTCACCAGATGTCGGTAACAACCCTAGTAATCCATACATACATAGAAAACAAAACAAAACAAATAAGTTCAGAAATTAAGTTCTGTGTAATAAAATGGAAAACATCATGGTGTAGCACTGGCAAAATTCATATAATT